TATACAGAATAAAAAGTACAAGTCCTAAGTGTATTATTTGATGACTTTAACCAATGCCAGCAACTGTGTATTCCAACCCCCTGCAAGATCTAGAACATCACTAGCATCCCAGAGAGTTTCCTCACATCTCATGCTGTCAATCCCCACCTTAATGGCCCCTGTCTACATACTTCCAATTCTCACCTCAACCAGGGGCTGGGATTGTTCTGATTTCTTCCTCCATAAATTAGTTTTGCCTTTTCTAGAGCTTCATTCTTTTGTGAAGTCTTCGTTTTTTCCCTCAATATGATGTTGAGATTCATCCAAGTTATTGTGTGTATCAGTAGGTTTTGCTCTTTTGCTACTAAATGGTAATCTACTGTATGTCTATAACAGTTTAATTATCCATTCTCCTCTTGACAAACACATGGACTATGGGTAGCTTTTGGCTTATACCAATAAAGCTGCTAAAAATATTTTTGTACAAGTTTTTTCTCTGTGGACATGTTTTCGTTTCTTTTGGATGGATATCTAGGAAACAGATTTCTGGGTCATATGGTAGACATGTTTTGTAAGAAAGTGCCCAACTGTTTTCCAAAATGGTTGTACCATCATACATTCCCACCAACGATGTATGAGAGTTTGTTGTTCCATATTATTGTCTAGATTTGATGTTGTCAATCTTTTAAATTTTAACCATTACCGTGACATTGTGGTTTATTTCCCTAATGACTAAAGTGGGCTTTCCTGGTAGATCAGTGGTAAAGAATTTGCCTGCCAATACAGGAGATGCGTGTTTGATCTCTGGGTCTGGAAAATACCCTGGAGAAGGAAATGGCAACCTACTCCAGTGTTCTTGCCTGGGAAACTTCAAGATCAGAGAAGCTTGGTGGGCTATAGTCCATGGGGTTGCAAAAGAATTAGACACGACTTACTAACTAAACAATAACAAATGACTAAGTGGTGTTGAAAAGTATTCTTAGTATTTATTAGCCATTTGTATATCCTCTTTTGTGAAGTATTTGTTGAAATCTTTTGCTTATTTATTTATTTAAATATGGGCATATGGAATTTTAGTTCCCTGACCAGGGATCGAACTCGCCACCGTAGAGTCTTAACCAATGAACAGCCAGAAAGTCCCTCTTTTCCTTATTTGAAAAGCCAGGTTTAATGCAGTATGATTTACATACAGTAAAATTTATCTTTTTTAGATGCATTTTTTTTAATGAATTTTGAAAATGTGGTTGTTTAACTATCACAGTCATCAATATAGTTTCCATCATGGCAAAAAGTTTCCTTGTGTCTCTAATTTATACATTTCTTCCCATCCCCTGCTCCTGGCAACTGCTCATCTATTTTCTGTCCCTAAGCTTTTACTTTTTCCAGGTTGTCATGCACATAGAATCATGTAGTATATAGATATTTGAGTTTACTGCCCAATTTTAATTTGGCTATTTGTCTCCTTATTGAGTTGTAGAAATTCTTATGTATCCTGGATAACAGTTTTCTTGTTAGACATATATGTTTGTGACTATTTTATTCCAGAGTGTAGCTTTCCTTTTCTTTTTCTAAATGATATCTTTCAGTGAGTAGAAATTTAAAATTTGGATAAAGTAAAATTTCTCAATTATTAGTATTTTTTTGTGATCATTGCTTTCTGTGCTCTAAGAAAACTTTCAGTTCTTTTCAGTTACTCAGTCACGTCCAACTCTTTGTGACCCCATGGATTGCAATACGCCAGGCTTCCCTGTCTANTCTATTTGACATGAAGTGACGGGACCGGATGCCATGATCTTAGTTTTCTAAACTTTGAGCTTTAAACCAACTTTTTCACTCTCCTCTTTCACTTTCATCAAAAGCCTCTTTAGTTCTTCTTCACTTTCTGCCATAAGGGTGGTGTCACCTGCATATCTGAGGTTTTTGATATTTCTCCCAGCAATCTTGATTCCAGCTTGTGCTTCATCCAAGGTATTACAGGTATTATAGGGTATTACTAGATACTGAATATAGTTCCCTGTGCTGGACAGTAGATCCAGTAGGTACTTGTTAAGACTGGCAGTCTTAATGTGATGGCACTTAGCTCAGTTCATGACACTAATATATTTAGTAATACTTGACACCTATGGATGTGTGTGCTAAGTCGCTTCAGTCATGTCCCACTCTTTGTGACCCTATGAACTATGGCCTGCCAGGCTCCTCTGTCCATGGGATTCTCCAGGCAAGAATACTGGAGTGGGTTGTCATGCTATCCTCCAGGGGATCTTCCAGACCCAGGCATCAAACCTGTGTCTCTTGAGTCTCTTGTATTGGTATTGGCGAACAGGTTCTTTACCACTAGCTCCACCTGGGAAGCCCCAATATATACAGTAGACACCTAATAAATATATGTTCGATTTAACTTTAAGTTCTTTAACTCTGTAACGGGGGAAGAGGAATAAAGCTATAGGTAGGAGGAGTTATAAAGTATAATAAAGAATTTGGCCCTTGATGTTATTGAAAATTTTCTTTTCAGGAGTGAGGGCATTTCCTGCCAAGTGCAAACTTTGTGTTGAAATAAGTCCTCCTTCATGGTTAGAAATGCTCCTGGAATGATGCTGGATAGGCTTTGGGGTGATTGAGGTCCCTCAAGAGGAATAGTGGGCTTAGTCCTAGGGTTAGTGGACCAAAAGGGAGATACTATGCACAGTTCCGCTTCAAAGAATGTAATTTAAACATTTTTTTGGTCTTTTTTTCTTTGTAGTCTGAGGAATTTTAAAAATCTGGGTGATCTCTTGCAGAAAATATTTGGTGTTAAAGTGCCCCAAGAACCGCATGACTTGGTTCCCAGCCCTGGCTCCTATCTGGGGCCCTCTCGGGAGTCTAAATTATTCCCCCACCCTGCTTCTGACCACCCTAAGGGCCCAGATCCCAGGATTATGCTTCCTGATCCTCTGTAGGAAGGGAGTCAGGGTGCCTTCAGCCCTAGGTGATATGGCTGTGTCTAGATGTGCTTAACAAATTGCCTGTTCACTCAATTACATTTTATTTAATCATCTGTAATCATATAAATTATGCCTGATGGTAGTAAATGTTCATGTCAGTTCCTAATTATAGATTGATTAATTGGCTGGGGGTGATCTGTATTACTACTTATATAAGAATATATGAAGATGATGATAAATTAGGGCTGGTGATGCTGAGCCCAGGAAAATGGAACATTTCCAATTGTATCCCACTTTTTGGGGGTAGGGAAGCCATTCCCCCTTCATAGTTGTATTCATATCAGATGCCTCCAGGAGGGTTTGTGTTCTATTGATTGGTTGATTTGGGTAACATCTGAGTCAAGAAATACTTATTATTGTTTAGTTAGTGTATGTGTGCACGTAAAATTTTGCCATGCCGTGCTTTTCTTTTTGGCTGTTGGCAGAAATGAATAATGACGAGCTCATTAAGTTCAGTTGGGCTCATTACAGCCTGCTGGGCCTAGAAAGTTCCCAAGGTTGGATTTGGCCTGGAGAGCAGGAATCCAGAGAATGTAGCTGGGGGTGGGGGCACTTTATTAGTGCCTGTGAAATGATTCCCTATTGGATGATTTCCTTTTTGTTTCCTTGAGAGATAGCATGTCCAGTGATCCAGAATACACCTTGAATTTTTTCTTTGGTAACATCAGACCTTTGTGGATGTCTTTAGGGCAACTTACCTTGGATGTGTAATTATTAGTTCTCAGCTTGTGAGAACAAAACCTAATGAGAATGTACTCTGCTTCCATCATTCTCACTCATACCTGAGGCTATAGATAAAGATGGGGCAATGTGGAGTAAGACAAAGAATCTGATAATCCCGAAGCGGACTCTGGTTTTAGCGAAGGGACTTGTGGCTTTATCCCAGGATCCTTACTTCCTGAGAAGTGATGGTCAGAGGAAGAATGGCAGAAAGCCCATGGGTGTCCTATGCCCTGAAAACACAGCATCCCAGGGGCTTGCTCCTGGAGAAGAGCATCCCCTTGACAAACAAGCTGCAATAGGAGTTCTTTCCCTTTATTGTATTGGCTGGATTTCCCTAGATTACTTTTTCTCAGGTCCCATTGGCCAAGAATGGTAGGCATGTTCATCCTAAATCAGTCACTGTTGAAAGGGCTAAGACAACTAGGACAGGCCCAGACCAATCACGATTGACTCTCTGTGGTCTGCGGAGGAGGGTCACCTTTCCTGAATACAGGACCCAGCAGAGGGTGATGGTTGAACCAAACTGAGGCTCTGTCAGTCACTAAGAAGTAAGTGTGTGTGTGTGTGTGTGTGTGTGTAGAATTAGGGGCAATTGGCTGGTTGTCCCAGGAAAATCACATAATGACCCTGAAATACAGGAACCCTGAATCTCCCAAATCAGATCCATAGGAAGGAAGATTCAAGTGCCTCAGAAGAAAAACAATAAATAAGGCACATCCTCCAATATGACTTGGCTTTTATTCAGTTCTTCTCATTTTGCTCTTCATAATAATACCTTGCAGTTAGAGATGGTGATCACAACTTTATTCGGCACATTGCCTGGTGATGTCAGACTGTTAAGTCTATTAAAGAAACCACCCTAGTGTATGTGATGTTTGTGGGTTGTGTGGAGGACTCTGTTAGCAGCCTACCCAGCATTCATTCTTCTTCCTTCAAACTGAACTTTGGTTGACACCATACCCAGCATACGAGGAGGACTTCCGTGACTCTGAGCCAGTAGGAACTTGGCAGCCCCTTGGTGGTGGTTACAAGTTCAAGGATGGGCAAACTGGCTTAATCACATTGAAGGCAAAAGCTGGAGTCCTGCTTGGGGAACAAGTACTTCTTTCTCTCTTACTGGCTGGGAACAAGGAAGCATGTAGCCCTGCCTGCCACTGGCAACCATGTTGTGAACATGAGGGGAGCAAGGACTGAATTAAATAAGAGCTGAGAGAGGGGAAGAAATTAGGGCCTCAGCGGCATCACTGAGCCAAACCTGGAGCCTCTGACATCGCTAGGTATGATGACAACTTTCCTTATGACCTAGGCCAATGTGAACTGAGGTTTTTGGTACTTGCAGCTTAAAGCCTCCCCTTACTATAACAGCCATCCATTATTATTTTCTTTTACAAATGAAGAAACTGAGCAAGAAAAGGTAGGTGAGCTGCCTCAGATCTTGTGGCCGAAAGAGTGGGGGAAGAATAGTCTTTGACTCCAGGGTGAGTTTTCTCCCCCCACCTAACTACCTCCTGTCATGATTACTTCTCAGTGATCACAGTTATCTTGAGTTGATCTGGGGAGTCTGAGTGGAAGGGTGAAATGTTTCCTAGGAGTCCAGTAGGGTCGAGCTGAGAAATCTAATTCCCCCTGGGTTAGCTGCTAGCTGCCATCTGGATGAGATAATTATTACCCTGCCCTGTCTTTGTTTAACTGGCTCTGTAGCGGGAACAATGGATTCCAATGAATTGTGCTGGTAAATAATATCTTCTGCTTCCTGGGGGAAACATCCAGAACAAAGGATGAGGGTGCCTCCCAAGAGGGAAGGAATAGGCTGGAGAAGGAGAATAGACTCAAGATCCATGGCAACAGTACCTCTGAGGTTGGTCAAGGGGAAAGGTCAGGCTCTTGCAGACCCAGCATGTAGAGTCATCGCCAGCTCCTCTCCTTTGGGGCTACACCACTTCACTCCCTGACCCCAGCTGGGGTGATTCCATGGGGACTCGCTGGGGTGACCGATGGGGTGGGAGGGAGAGGAGAGCTCCTCACACAAGATGTAGGGAGGAACAATGACCCGGTGACATGTCTTTGTGTATCTCTAGGAGGAAGTGGACATGAAACAGTCACTTGGGAGAAATACCCTTGACACCAAAAAGGAAAAGGGATTCCCATTAGAACATGGGAAAGACCACAATGGACTGTTCAGAGGCCTCAGATTCCTCCTCATGGTTTTGTGAATGGGTCTCCCTGGTTCTGGCATCAGTTAGCTATGACATGAGGCCAGGAAGTGCTTCCTTTGGTTAGCTGTCTTAGATACAGAAATACTATCCGGGAATTTATACAGGCCTTTAGTAAATCCTTTCATATTTTAGCATGAACTTCATCTTGGGGCATCAATCACACAGAGATGCAAGTGTCAGTTCCCCGTTATGATCCACCTGCCAGAATGGACACCATAAATGACATTTCACTTGTTTGCTTTCTAACAGAGTCCATTACAATTACCAGGGGGCTTTAAAAATTAATTTTATATAATATAAAAAATGTAAAATGCTATGCCGTGACGAATTTTTCCCATCCCCCTTCAGTGCATTTCCCTCACTGTTAGCACTGTTAGTGGTTCTATGGGACCCTCTCAGAGTTTCTCATAAAAACAAATATTAAAATAGATTTTTACTTTCTTTTACCCAGCTTTTGCACAAAATGCAGCATTCTGTACACACTGTTCCACATTTTACTTTTTTTTACATCAGCACATAGGGACTTTTGCACTCCACTTGCAAGGTACAGATGTATCTGGGGGGCATTCAAGAAATTCAGATTCTCAGGCTCCACCTTAGGCTGATTGAATCTGAACTTCTCAGAGACTTAGAATTTTTAGAAAATTCTCCAGGTCATTATAATGTAGAAAAAACTCTTATCTGTTGAACCCAGATTAGCCATGTGGGTCAGCTAGGATGGTGTCTTTTGTCTGCCTTTCCTGGACAGTTGTGGGAGGCTGAGAAATGGCCCTCTAAAGTATGGTCAGTTCCCAATCCCTGGGACAGGTGAATATTATCTGAGATGACAAAAGGTGAGATTCATTCATGATCTTGAATGGAGGTGATTAACCTGGGTTATCCAGATAAGCCCTAAATGCAATCACAGGTATCCTTATAAGAGAGGGGCAAAGGGAGATTATAGCAAGACCCTGAAGAGAAGACCAAATGAAGATGGAGGCAGAGACTGGAGGGATGTAGCCACAAACCAAGGACCCTGGCAGTCACTAGAAACAGGAAGAAGCAAGAAATAGTCTCTCCTTTAGAATCTCTGGAGGAATCAAGACCCCTTGCTTTTGGTTCCCTGGTGCTGACGTCATAATTCTGGCTTCTGGAAGGGTAAAAGAGTGAATGCCTGTTTCTTTGGACACTAAGTTTGTGATCATTTGTTCCAGGAGCCTCAGGAAATGAACACAAGCATCTACACATGCTTCTGTTGCTAGAGAGACTTTGATTAGCCTGTCTTCCTCACCTAAGTCCCTTTCCTCCTTCTTTCTGCCTGTGGTATTCTTCTAGTCTTTAAAGCTGACCAACTCTTACCTCCTCCTACCTTAGGCTGATTGAATCTGAACTTCTCAGAGACTTAGAATTTTTAGAAAATTCTCCAGGTCATTATAATGTAGAAAAAACTCTTATCTGTTGAACCCAGATTAGCCATGTGGGTCAGCTAGGATGGTGTCCTTCGTCTGCCTTTCCTGGACAATTGTGGGAGGCTGAGAAATGGCCCTCTAAAGTACGGTCAGTTCCCAATCCCTGGGACAGGTGAATATTATCTGAGATGACAAAAGGTGAGATTCATTCATGATCTTGAATGGAGGTGATTAACCTAGGTTATCCAGATAAGCCCTAAATGCAATCACAGGTATCCTTATAAGAGAGGGGCAAAGGGGGATTATAGAGAGACCCTGAAGAGAAGACCAAATGAAGATGGAGGCAGAGACTGGAGGGATGCAGCCACAAACCAAGGACCCTGGCAGCCACTAGAAACAGGAAGAAGCGAGAAATAGTCTCTCCTTTAGAACCTCTGGAGGAATCAAGACCCCTTGCTTTTGGTTCCCTGGTGCTGACGTCATAATTCTGGCTTCTAGAAGGGTAAAAGAGTGAATGCCTGTTTCTTTGGACACTAAGTTTGTGATCATTTGTTCCAGGAGCCTCAGGAAATGAACACAAGCATCTACACATGCTTCTGTTGCTAGAGAGACTTTGATTAGCCTGTCTTCCTCACCTAAGTCCCTTTCCTCCTTCTTTCTGCCTGTGGTATTCTTCTAGTCTTTAAAGCTGACCAACTCTTACCTCCTCCATCAAGGGTTCCTGGGCGGCCTCTCTGTGACCTACTATAAGGTCTATTGTTGGTTCCCATCATGGCCCCGTATTTTCGGTTAACCTTTTGTGTGTGCCTGGGCTTCCTGTGGAAACTGTAGGCTCCCTGGGATAGGAACCATTTCTTGTTATTGTTGTAAAGTCTGGGGGGTGTGGTATTATGATTCCAGGTATTTTTGCCATAAGAATCTTTGCCATGAGCTGCTTAAACAGAGGCAATTTCACTTTACAATTGGCCATATGACAATTTTGCCATAAAATTAAAATAATGAAAATAATTTTAAAAGAGGGATATTAACAGGAACATAATGAAATACAAAAAATCAGTAGAAAAAGTTTTAGAAGATTTTATTGTCACAAGATGAAAATACAAAAAAATATTTGAATATATTTCGAATGTGTATAGATTCATGGCTATAGTTGTATTTGGGTCAGTCATTAAGAATTTAAGATCTAATGTTGGGTCTTCTTCATGATATTAAAAAATATACTGAAAGTGTCTCCAGATTTCCCTGGAAGTATGGCATCTGGTTCCATCACTTCATGGCAAATAGAAGGGGAGAAAGAGGAAACAGTGACAGATTTTATTTTCTTGGGCTCCAAAATCACTGTGGATGGAGACTGCAGTCATTACATTAAAAGATGCTTGCTCCTTGGAAGGAAAGCTATGACAAACCAAGACAGAGTATTAAAAAGCAGAGACATCACTTTGCCAACAAAGGTCCATTAAGTCAAAGCAATGGCTTCTCCAATAGTCGTGTACAGATGTGAGAGTTGGACCAGAAAGAAGGCTGAAAAAAGTGAAAATGAGTCAATCATGTCTGACTCTTTGCAACCCCATGGACTGTATGTAGCTCACCAGGCTCCTCTGTCCATGGGAGTTCCCAAGCAAGAATACTAGAGTGGATTGCCATTTCCAAAGATTTGAAGCTTTTGAACTGTGGTGCTGGAAAAGACACTTGAGAATCCCTTGCAAAGCAAGGAGATCAAACCAGTCAATCCTAAAGGAAATCAACCCTGAATATTCATAGAAGGACTGATGCTGAAGCTGACGCTCTAATACTTTGGCCACCTGATGTGAAGAGCCAACTCATTGGAAAAGACCCTGATGCTGGGATAGATTAGAGGCTAAAGGAGAAGTGGGCAGCAGAGGATAAGCTGGTTAGATAACTGACTCAATAGACCTGAACTTGAGCAAGTTCGGGAGACAATAGAGGACAGAGAAGCCTGGCTGCAGTCCATGGGGTTGCAAAGAGTTGGACAGGACTTAGTGACAGAACAACAGCAAAAAACAAGCAGATGAGGGATGCTGCTATTTCTTACCAATACATGTAACATCTGTAGCTGGTCATACATATCTGGACTACATGTCAATGTTCCATCACATGCCCAGTCCTTTTATTTCACCAATATCATGTAAGCCAGATTCTGTACCAAATACCCAAATTCTGCCTACATCATGTTCTCCACTGTCAATTGCAAAACAAACAGAACTCCCATTTTTCAATAAAATTATATTTATCAGGAATCACACAGCCATTTCTTTTTGAGGGGAATAGGAAGCCTCCAACTTCTAATACTGTGTGATGAATTTAGTAGTAACAGCTGCTTTTTAGGATTTGTAATAGCTTGATGAACTTTTGGTTCTGATGGGTGGGAGAGATGACTGTGGGCACTGAAAGATCTGCAAATTGTGCCATTTCCAAAGATTTGAAGCTTTTGAACTGTGGTGCTGGAAAAGACACTTGAGAGTCCCTTGCAAAGCAAGGAGATCAAACCAGTCAGTCCTAAAGGAAATCAACCCTGAATATTCATAGAAGGACTGATGCTGAAGCTGAAGCTCTAATACTTTGGCCATCTGATGTGAAGAGCCAACTCATTGGAAAAGACCCTGATGCTGGGATAGATTAGAGGCTAAAGGAGAAGTGGGCAGCAGAGGATGAGCTGGTTAGATAACTGACTCAATAGACCTGAACTTGAGCAAGTTTGGGAGACAATAGAGGACAGAGAAGCCTGGCTGCAGTCCATGGGGTTGCAAAGAGTTGGACAGGACTTAGTGACAGAACAACAGCAAAAAACA